GGGATAGGGTACAGTGACCTAGACAAATTGAAGGATTGGATCAAAAGAAATCTGATGAAGTTCAGCAATGACAAGTGCAGAGTCCTGCACTTAAAACAGAAGAATCCTGTGAACTGCTACAGACCGGGTACCGACAGGCCAAGCGGCAGTTCTGCAGAAAACGACCTGGGGATTACAATGGCCAAGAAGCTGATATGAGTCAACAGTGTGCCCTTGTTGCCAAGAAGGCTAATGAAATATTAGACTGCATTAGTTGGAATATTTCCAGCAGAGTGAGGAAAGTGAGTATTAAAGTCTATTTGGTACTGGTGAGGACAGATCTGGAGTATTGCATCCAGTTTTGGGGTCCTACTGCAGAAAGGATGTGGACAAATTGGAATGTCCACAAGATGTGTCCAGCAGAGGACAATGAAAATTATTAGGGAGCTAGGCCACCTGACTTAGGAGGAGATGCTGAGGGAACTTTCCTTATTTCATTTGCAGAAGAGAAGAATGAGGGGGGACTTGATAGCAGCCTTTAACTACCTGAAGTAGGTGGGGCGGAGGGTGAGGTGGTTCCAAAGAGGATGGAGCTCTGCTGTTGTCTGTGGTGGCAGATGACAGACTGAAGAGCAGTGTTTTCAAGTTGTAGTGGGGGAGTTCTAAGTTGGGGTATGTCTACACTACCACCCTAGTTCGAACTAGGGTGGTAATGTAGGCAACTGGAGTTGCAAATGAAGCCCGGGATTTGAATTTCCCGGGCTTCATTTGCATAGAGCCGGGCGCCGCCATTTTTAAACGTCCGCTAGTGCGGACTCCGTGCCACGCGGCTACACGCGGCACGGACTAGGTAGTTCGGACTAAGCTTCCTAGTCCGAACTACCGTTACTCCTCGTGAAACCTAGGACGTGTAGACATACCCTTGGATATTAGGAAAAGCTATTTCATTAGGTGGGTAGTGAAGCACTAGAATGAGTTACACAGGGAGGAGGTGGAATCTCCATCCTTTGAGGTTTTTAACACCTACCTTGACAAAGCTCTGGCTGTAATCATTTAATTGGCGTTAAGGATGTTAAATTGTGGTTAATTGACTAGTCAAGTAGTCGTTGGAATTTCCATCGACTACTCAACTAGTCAATAGGCATTTCCACATTCCTCCTTTGAAATGTACGAGCTTGTACATTTCAAAGGGGAATGCGGAAGTTTGCGTGCAGACCGGGGCCAGCGGAAAGTCCCGGGCTGCATACGGACATGCCTGCTTTGAAATGTACAAGAGTCCCCAGCCGGGACTGTGCATTTTAAAGCCACAGTGCCCTCATGGAGCCCAGGGTGAGCGGGGGACATGCTGCGCTGCGGTGTAAGCATGCTGCAGCATTTCAGTGGAACCTGGGATCAGCTGCTACTTCTGCATTTCAAAGGGGTATCAGCAGTGGGGCACTGACCCTTTGAAATACAGAGGCAGCGTATTAATGGGGCAGTGTTGCATAGCTGAGCCGGGGATCAGCTGTCTGGCGGCTGCCCTTTGAAACTCCACCTTGGGGTTTCAAAGTAGCAGCACTGAACAGCTGATCCCTGGTCAGCCGTGCGGTGCTGTCCCTTTGAAGTACCCCTTCTCACTCCCCCTCCCCCTTTGCTGCCTCTATCTGATAGATGCAGCAAGGGGGGGAATTGGCTAGTCAACTGACTATCAGGTAAGCATTTGCTATTGATATCCTATTAACAACCTTAGTTGGCATTGGTCCTGCTTAGTGCAAGGAGTTGTACATGATGATCTCCTGAGGTCTCTTTCAACCTTAATATTCTATGATTCTATCATGTGATCTGTAGTCTGATAGCCTCATCTGAGAGGTAGCTGGTTAGTCTGATTGGGCCCAGCTGATTGGGAAAAGCTCAACTGCCATTGAGGTTGAAAAGTGTTGAGGGAGCCAGCACTTCATAGGAATAGGGGATTAGAACAGTGAAGCTAAATATACTATTTATATATTTTGTTTGTCTCTATGAGTATGTCTACACAGCAGGGCTACAGTTGAATTAAGCTACACAACTTCAGCTACATCAGTTGTGTAGTTTAAGTTGAAATAGCTTAATTTGGCATTTTTCGGAGTAAGAAGTCTTCCAGCTCGACATTATTTTGAAATAAAGGCTTGTTGTGTAGACGCTCACTATGTTACTTCGGAATAACATCAGTTATTTTGAAATAACGCTGCTATGTAGATGTACCCTTAAGGTGGTACGGGACCATTGTTGTTTCCTAAATAGGATAGTTATTCAGATCTAAATTACACATTTAAATTTTCTGGAGTGTTATTTGTATGTCTTTAATTAATTCAGACCTTCTCTAAGGAAATGCTTCATTTAATCATCATATACATTTATTTAAAGGCAGAGATAGACATTAAGGATGTTTTCTACTCTACCAAGTAAAGCCCTATGTAGGTGGAGTGATGAATGACTGAGGAGATGAATGCCAACCTCCTCAATCCCCCAAAACCAGAATAAAGGTACTGATCTTCTAAACCTCTTTCTCATGCTTAGTCTGTGAATGCTATTCCAACGTGTTCATAAACACAAATCTACCCACTTAGCCCACCTCCAAAGTGGCCTCCTGTTCCAGTCCATGTGGCAGCAGTGCAGATACCTACTTTTTCCTGATATATAGGATAGGCACAGGTAGGCTTTTATAGCCACTCAGTCAGTGGACTCCCTACTCAGCTACATGTCCTATTTTGTATCTCCCAGAGTTTGATGCATCTCTCAGTACTTGGAAACAGCTGAAGGGATAATTTGAATGTAGGAGAAAATTGATAAGTCTAAGGAAGACAACAGAAACAACACTGTCTCTATTCTTTCAGTGACTCATGTAGTAGGAAGCAATGGTTTGATAGCGCAAATTGCAGATGAGGATAGAAGAATGGGAGATCATTTCCAGTAGTATTCTAGGAGATTCACAGATACTGAGGATAGCATCAAGTGAATCGAAGGGTGTTCATGCCTTATCAGGAAGTCAAAGAGATCATTCAGCGGGTTCAAGAAACCTTGGGCAAGCTGCAAAACAAATGTTCTAATTGTCAATTTGAATTATTATATGTATTTCCTGGCCCATGATTGGGAGAGCTTCTGCAACATTCTGCCTGAGTTTTAACTTCATAGCCATAGATTATCTTAAGATGCCATGGTGCCAAGACCTAAGAGATATGCCTAGTGAAAATCCCATCATTCTGCTTGTCACAAAATGATCTGCTTAGGCAAACTAAGTTTTCCTTGACATACTAACTCACCAACACAAGTGATCTAGATATAAGGGAGTCGAACCCCTCCCTTTTTTTTTAAAAAAAAAAAGGAGGGTGGGGAAGAGGAGATGCTGACATATACTATCTTCTTTAAAGATAAAGTGCAGCTTAGGCCATACCCAGCCTTTCTCCCAAAGGTAATCTTGGAGTTTCACTTGGGCCAACACATCGTTTTCCCAGTCTTCTGTCTGAAGCCTCATGCGACCAATGACCAACGACATCTGCATGCACTAGATGTCAGGAGGACGTTAGCATTCTGTCTGGAAAAAGAAAGCCCTTCCGTAAGTCCACATACAGCTGTTTGTGGCTTATGTGGATGGGATGAAAGTCCATCTGGTGTTGTCCCAGATGATATCCAGATGCATCTGCATGTGTTATGACTTTGCGGGCATTCCGGCCCCAGATTTAGTCAAGGCTCATTCTACTAGGGCCCACACCTCATCTGCAGCCTTTCAGGTGAATGTCTCGATCCACAGAATCTATCCAACGGCAACGTGGTCATTGGTACAAACCTACAGCCCTCTATGTGATCATGTAAGACGATGCAGCCCTCTACATGATCATGTAAGGCGATGCAGCCCTCTACATGATCATGTAAGGCGATGCAGCCTTTGGTAGAGTGGTGTTGCAATCTGCATGTTCTTGAGTCTCCTACCCGCCTCCACAGACATTACTAGCAATCACCTATGTTGAATGGACATAATCAAGCACTCAAAGGAGAAAAAAGAGTTACCTTTTTCTGTAACTGGTGTTCTTGGAGATGTGTTGCTCATGTCCATTCAACCTCCCACTCTCCGTCCCTGCTGCCAGAGTCTTTCTGGCAAAAAGAAATAATGAGGGAAGAGCACTCTATATAGCATGGCATATGTGCACCACTCCAGGGGGTCACTGAAACCCAGGCCCCCACTGGTACTACTGAGGGAAAATCTTTGGGTGCTGGTGCATGTGGCAAGCACACACACCTATGTGGAATGGACATGAGCAACACATCTCAAACACCATCTACAGAAACAGGTAACTGTTTTTTTTTTCATGTCCACTGAAAGTAGAACAAGACACAATGGGCATAATCTGCATCAAGGGCGATTTAGGTTAGACATTAGGAAACTGTTTCTAACTAAGAATAGTAAAACGTTGCAATAGGCTTCTAAGGGAGGATGTGGAATCACCACCTGAAGATTTTTAAGAACAGGTTGGACAATCGTCCGTCAAAGATGATTTAGTTGTACTTGATCATGCTTCAGCATAGGGGGCTGGGCTTGATGATTTCTTGAGGTCCTTACTAGCTCCATATTTCTATGGTTCTCTGATGGGTATTTGGGGGAATAGAGACAAGAGGTATTGTTTTAATGTAGCTTTATGTACAGAATATGTGGTGTAGTTTTAACAGATTCTTTATATCAAAATTTGTGTTGTATTTATTTTTCTT